GGGGGGGGGGGTTGTGGTGAGGGGGGGGCAGGGGCAGTACTTCTGCCCAAGGCAAATCATGTACATGTGTTATGTGTCAGCACAGCTCAGTGTCTGTGACCGTGTTTGCTAAACATCGCAGCCACTCTGTCGGACTGTAAATAACTGTGAACCGTCCACCCAAGTCACCTTTTACTCCAAGTGGGGTTAAGCTGTGCAGGTTTATATGAATGACAGTGTCATAGTTAGAAATTCTGGGTCCCCTGACAGAAAGTCACCTTGCCCACCTCCCTCAAATTTTACGTATTCAAAGGCCCCTGAAAAAATGCAGGGATCTCAGAATCTGCCGGGGTATCCATGCCTCTACTGCAGCCCTGATGAACGGTGTCATGAAATGTTTCAAATACCTGTGGAATGCGTCTTAAAAACAGCAGGGGGCGTACTGGTTAGAGACCTGCGAGCAGAGAGAAGTAGGGCCCTGGAAATGGCATCTGGGCCTTCAACAGAACTTGTGCAGATCTTGGCCACCAGAGTGTTTTTCCACTCAGAATTACACTCAGAATTTCTAAAGCCACGTTGTAGATCTTCAACTTCAGTATTAAGTGGAGAGCTTCAGACTTGTCATCCGGCTAATTTCCCCTTTTTGGCAGGAATATTTGGGCCGTCACAGAACCCGGCAAAATCACGGAAAAGACGAACATGACCCCCCTTATCGGGACGAGACCCGGGAGCCAAAATCTCCGAGCCAATTAAAGCTACTGAGAGCCACAGCACCTTGTCAAGAGCCTAATTAAGTGGCCCCAGCTCACGGGGGGGGGGCTCCAGGAGGTTCATCTTGGGGGGGGTGCGCTTCTCCGTCTCCGTGATGATGGCAGACCCCCGGTGTGAAGCGCAGCACGTGACATATTATCATTACCCCCTTGGTCATAAATTACCAGGTCAGCTAAAGTGCAACTATGTAAGGTCTCATCTTTCAGGCAACGTATGAAAACTCACCATGAAGTTATGAGAGCATGTGGAAGGAATTGAACCAAACATTGCTAGTTCAAAGGCAGCAATTTATCGTTTTTTTTTTTTGTTTGTTTTTTTAATTAATGGTAGACTTTTGATGAGTTGTACATGAAATATAGTTGCGACCTTTCACCTAGAGCTACTTTATTCACCATGGAATTTCTTTTCAAAGTAGACATTGAGACCGTTTCTGTAATTTAACACACTTGAGTGTTTTTTTCCTTGGTTCTGTTTGGCACTGTGATACGTTGTGTAGGTGTAGACCCAGTCTGTAATAAGGAAAGTGACCTCTCTTCAGGAGGACTGGTTCTGACACTGGACTGGTTCCATCAAAGGCTCACCATTAGGTAGCTCTTCCATCTGGATATTTTGCTCGTCTCAGTAAGATAACTCAGCTCCACGATGGGGTAATGGAATATTCCCTATAAAGTATTAAAATTGATTAAATTATCTGCTTCAGACCTATGGTGGTGTACACCATGCCGGAATCCTAAATTGAAGGATATTCCATTTCTAAAATTCAAATGGGGTAGTATATTTGCATATTCATCAAATGTTGAGGTGATTAATTTTTCAATCAGCATATCAAATATATTTTTTATAATCGCCGCTCATCCTTAAGCACGCGTTTGTTTACATTCCATTAAAACAATTTCGGCATTATCTCGGCTCGGAGATTGATTGTTATTTGAAGAGTATATGTTTGAATAAAAAAATCCTTAATTGCTAATTAAAATTCTGGGTGACTCTGAAAATCTGCCTGATGGGGTGGTGGCTCAGTGGGTATCTTGGCTTATCAAGACCCGGTTCTGGATCGGTAATGGAGGGACAGTGTTGCTGACTGGACCCTCTATCAGGACCTGCCCATCCCACAGTCCTCTGCTTCTTAAACACCATGAGAAATGCTTGGTAAATGTGAGCCGAGCTTTTTCCAGGGGCTTGTTTTCCCCCCCTAACAATGTGCCCTTGAGTACCACAGTGGTGGACAGCCGCTGAATAAATGAACCTCTTATCTCTGAGCTCAGTAGATTTAGTATGAGTGCTTTGCATTTCCAAAGGCGTCTGTCCATGAAACATGCCAGCCTCCCCCCCCGCCGTCCCCCAGTGACAGAAATGGACCCTGCACCTTACCTTCATATTCCTGTCGGTGGGTGTAAACACTAAGAAAGATGCCTGTAAGTCTTGTTTATACCAGGTACTCAGGAGGGAGAAGCGATGCTTTATCTTCTGCTGCAAAGGCCGATGCAGTGACTGAGGAGGAGGGTGTGTGTGTGTGTGTGTGTGTGTGTGTGTGTGAATGTGTATGTGTGTGTCTTCTTGATTTAGAATGCCGTGTCAAAAGGCGAGTTAATTGGATTCTTATTTCTCTTTTCGCAGATGGACCCGGTTCAAAAAGCCATAATAAATCACACGTTCGGACTTCCCCCGCCCCCGAAGAGAAAACCCATCGTGGTGTGCAGCGTGTGCCGACTGAAATTTAACTCTGAGGTGCGTAACGCAGATCGCATGCTAGTCTGCGCAGCCACAAATGCACGCTTTCAGGTGCAACAAAAACGCAGCACTAATACAAATAAATGTTCCGTGTGTGGCATTTTCACTATGCAATATTTCTCAATAATAAAGTCCTTTTCTTGGATTTATATGTGTATGGCTGCATATGAAGTTTTAGTACGTTTGTTATGAGAATTGAAATTTATAGCTTAGCTTTTCTTGGTCAATACCGGAGTGTCATATATCAAGAGGATAGTGAAATTATTATTTTTTTTGCATAAATATGCAGTGAAGTGCACATTTTGGCTCATTGTTTCTTGGCTTTAAGTCACTTGGGTGTCTCAGCTGCTTTACGCTGCACTAGATGAGCACCTCCTACAGGACAGGCGGCCAACTGCAAGCCGCCGGGAGCCGTAAAGCATCACTTAACATTTGGCCGGGGTTTTCACCAGCGGTGCAGTATCTTTGCGAGATATCGAATCAGAACTGACAGCACCAAAATAGCAAATAAAAAAGGCACACAAGCGTGTATTTTCGAGTCTAGTTGGCTGCATGTTCGTAGATGAGTGGGGGTAATGAACTGAAGAAAGAAGATTGCTTTTCTTAGTGTCACCCACGTAACTTCTCCACTAAAGAGAAGATAAAAAATTATCAAAAAAATTTTAAATACCGAACAAAAATAAGAGCAGGTAAACGTGGAACAGCTGGCAGGTAAATGATCAGGCAGGCGGTAAACCGGTACAGCCCGTTATATATCCCATAATATCTCTGGAGGGCGGCTATTTATAATCCTGGCAGCACCCAGTAAACTTTATTATACCAAGCGTTGTTGATAGCGAGAGATAGAGAAACACGGTTGTCACAGCGCAGGAAATAGGCTGGCCACATCAGCACGGTTATGACTGGAGTTGTCTTTTTTTCCTTTGCCAAGAAAAGGAATCGGGGGTTTTAATTCAGGCAGAAAACGCGCCAAGCAGCCAGTCGCTGGCTGGTAGAACAAATTAACAGTCCTGTCAGCTAGTGATTTCTGACACATCATTAAACCGCTGAAAATGTGTTTTTTTTTATTTGAAATGGAGCAACTTCGAAAGTCAGAATATGTTTATTTTTTTTTATTCTTTAGTACCACACAGCGGAAGGAAAATAAGATGATAAACTTTACAAATGAACTAGTCACATTGTGTGTGTGTGTGTGTGTGTGTGTGTGTGTATTATGTTTATATTACATTGTGGGGACCAAATATGCCCCATAATGTGATAATAACCTGGTTAATCATGGTTAACGTTGGGGATGGGTTGGGGTTAGGGTTGTCATTGTTGTGATTTTGCCCATATAAATGAATGGAGAGTCCCCACAACGATATAATTACAAATGTGTGTGTGTGTGTGTGTGTGTGTGTGTGCCTTTCTGTCTGTCTGTATCTAAGATATCTCACAACATAAAATAAATGACCATGTTTGGGAGTTTCATTTACCATTGACTGATCCAAGAATTACTCTTTATTTACTGGATTTTGTTCCGACTCAACTAGTTGGCCTAATCGGTCCATTTAGTAATGAATCATGCATACTGATAACCATTCCTTTCTCCAGCATTTCCATCAAACTATCATTCGCAGTCTCCTTTCTCCAATTTTCTTCCAGCACAATGCACTGTTCCACTGTACTTATTCATCTAGCAGACATTGTAGTCCAACGCGACTCACAATGGAGAGAGCAGGGTTGGCCAGTCCCTGGAGCGATCCAGAGGTTGCTCCAAGGGGATTTGAACCAGCAACCTTCTGGGTCCTAACTCGCAGAGCCACGCACTGCCCTGTGCAGCAGTACTTCATCCTTTGAAAAAATCATTTAATACCATTTTTTTTTCCAGATTGCTCTAATTGAGCAATTAGGGGGGGTAATTGGGAGCCAACCTCGGGCTCAGACGAAACTTGGGCTGCTGCCACAGACCCTGTGAGTTAATGGCAGATGAGGAGAATGCTGCAAGTCTCCTCATTTTAATTTCCTCCTGGTACCCGAGCTATCTTCTTGAAATATTGTATTTCTTATTGAAAATGATTTTTTTTTTTTTACGTCTCGCAATCTACAGCCCAGCCTTTTCCGCCCTGTACTGCGGGTGTTAAACCAACATCATTATAAAACACTATACCGTCGCCATATTCCTTCTATTAAAAAAGCGATTTGTTCTGCCACGGTCTTGAAGGTGTCAGTTATTTATTATAACCCCC